CGGATCGTAGTCCTGTCTAATTGTGAGTGATTGTTTTACTTTGGGTTGCCCTACATAACAATCTTTTTTTTTCAATCCCAAACTGGGTTTTATGTAGTCCTGTCTAATTGTGAGTGATTGTTTTACTTTGGGTTGCCCTACATAACAATCTTTTTTTTTCAATCCCAAACTGGGTTTTATATCATTTGTTAGCGATAATGAATCAACACTCAAATAACCAAGATGTACATCAACATAAAAACTCCATAAAAACCTGTCTAATTTTACAACACAACAAAAAAACAACTTCATACTATCTATTACTCAGCTAACAGAACCACTGGCCATCGTCCTCCGAGCCCTCGCTCGTGTCACCCTCACACCCTCCCCCAAGCTAGACTCCAGTGCGGTTATAGCCGTGTTTTTATCGGGCAGTGAATCTATTTGCATTGCTTGCCCTTCTATTTCAGAATCCAAGGACTTGGTGCGCTCCACGAGCGACTGTGAGGCCGTCATTTTCAGTTTGTTCAAGGGCGATGATGACGTGGCGCTGGCTGCTACTTTTGAATCTGCCTCGTCTGACGTGTCGTCTTGCTGTTCACTCGAGGATGTTGAGTCTGAGGAAGGAGAAGAGGATTGGGCTTCGTCCGGTGGTGGAGTTGTGGCGGCAGGCTTGGGGTTAGGGGGCAAATTGGATTTTTTCTGGACACGATTCGTGCCTTGCTGCTATGGCATCAGAAAGAAGAAGAAAAAAAAGTAAAAAGGTTATATTATGTCAGTTGAATTGAAAGTGAAGGTTATAAATGGAAAAGAAAAAATGTAGAAAGAAAGGATAAATGTGAACACTATTTAGAACATACTAATTCATTACAACTGAGGACAATTAAGACTGTGTATGGTAAACATATAAGCTAGCTTATAGCTTATTTAATGAGTTTTTATGTATTCAAATAAGCTTGATTTTGGTAGGGCGCTATTTTAAAAAGCTCGAACTTATCTCATAAGCTTCATTGGGTAACTTTTTTCAAATAACCCAATTCAAATTTTTATTTCAGCTAGCTTATGAGCTAATTTTACCAAACACTTTTATTATATAAGCTAGATTTTTAGCTACAAGTCATAAGCTATAAGCTATCAGATATAAGCTCAAAATTCACTTAAAAGCTATAAGCTACTTCATCGGTTATACAACTGTAAGTACAATCTCGCATTTCACTTAATCAACCGTAGAGTAAAAATTATACAACTATTGATGTATAGAAAAAGTAATTTTAATTCTGAAATTTTGAATTGCAAAAGGAAATCAAGGGATTTAACTTAATAAGCTGCATCTTATGAATGTAATGCATCTTATGAATGTAATCTAACAGAAGGGCACATGCTGAACTGTTTGAAATTAGAATCAATTTACTAGCAGTCATCGTGCAGCAAACTCCATCACAAATCAGATCCCAAAAAACACAGCTGGCATGCTCGATTTTGACATCATTTAATAGTTTACAGTTCAGTGCTTACCTGAGTTGGTCGAGGAAGAGTTGACTGTGACTGTGAAGCAATATACTGCAAAATTTCGAAAATTCTAGTCTGACCATAGCTGGCAGCCCTCTGCCAGTACAAGACCAACATATCTCCAGCTCTTGTTCTCAGTTCTAACAAACTACGGTCAATTTCTGTTTCATGCTTCGCCACATAGGGTCTAAAGAAGGAGTCATAAACATATGTTGTTCCCTAAAAATAAATTTAGTGAAGGAGAATACAATGAAATTAGACTAAACACTACAAAGGAACTAACTAACTAACAACACCCAAGGATTACAGAGATGATCACGGACCTTAGTTTTAGGAAACCACAAGTATATAAAGAAGGCCAATTTAGCTTCACCGTACATTGGAACCCTTCATAACAACATCACAAAACAACTTCAAAACAAATACAGAAAAAAGCATGAAAGTCTTTATATTGTCTGAGCCATTAGAAATGATCTTACCAGCCAATGAATGTATCACCAACCCGTTCGCAAACTGTCAGCCCGGCCACCAAGATCCTAAAAGTTCAAATTGTAGTTATAACTAATAGCTTGTAGCCGAATTTATGTGCAGGAGAAAATAATTTGCTGAACACGTAGCGTACCAATACTGACACCAAAAACGAAGCTGGTCAATGTCGGGCTTATTCATTTCCACAGTTTTAAAGCATTCATATGCTGGATACACATAGCCAAATATGAGCCTGCAACAAGGGTGGAAATTAAGAAATACGCACAACAGAAATGAAGGGATTTTTTTATTTATTTTTTTGGGAACAAAATCATGGATGTGGCACATACACAAGTACCCTAGTTATCAAAGATCCAATCATCCTGAGTCCCTGCCACATTCGAAACATTTGTTAGGTCAAGTCGAGCAACTCACTAGGTGGGATGAATGAGCATGATTCATAAATTACAGAGATTAATCAACGACAAATCTTTCGTTATTTACAGAGTTCTCACTTAAAACACTTAGTAACAACAAACTAAGATCATAGCTAAATCTGTTGGGCTCTAACTCAATTATGCACCATCACGACATCAAATTTACAAATCATACTTCACCGCTCTCGTTTTATGTTAAGTTTTGTTCTTCTGCTTCAAAATAAAATCTACCAGACAAAATATAAAAAGAATAGAAAAGAGGACTTGCACTACCAACTACCATCATTCCCAACTCTTCTAATTTTCATAACCACAATACAAAAATCCAGGACAGAGCACATCACAAGAGGAATTGAAAATTCAATTTTCCCAATATAAATACCACCGATCAGAAAAAAGGTACCAAGGACACTGATTCACTTCTTTTACATATCATTCAAACAACAAGACAATACATACTCCTCAAAATATCAAACTCTGAGCAAAATATGTGTAAATCGAAGAGAATAATTCAGTAAATATTCATCTATAACAACAGAACACAGAGATCCTACGGTGAAAAGGTCAGCTGTATAAAAGGGGAAAAAGAGGCCGTTGGTGAAGGCCATAAAAGTGAAGTAAAGAGATTACGGTTCGTGTTCGTTTTCAAAAGCTTCGCTCTTGAACTGCACCGCCGTACGAGTAAGTGGCGCCGCCGCGGAACGCCGATGAGCCGTTAGTTTGTCGGTAAGGCTGAGGAGGAGAAAGCAAGGGGACCAAATTGTGCTGTGCTGTTTGAATTTTCCTTTTCCTTTTCGCTTTAATAATTTTTTTTTTTTTATTTTTTTTATTCGGATTTGTATTTGATTTATTGTTTTGAGTTTCGGAAAAGATGAGAGAAGGGGCAGATTTTATTGTGTGGAAAGGTACAACGATTCTAGCGTGGGGCTCCTAAAAGTTTGTGATAATTCGTAATTAATAATAATAATAATAATAATAATAATAATAATAATAATAATAATAATACGATTATGAATCTGACCATTTACTAAAAAAATATATATTATACCGTACAAAAATGTTAAGGTCTCATTACGGAATCATTACGTCGGAATTTGTAACCGTTAATCATTATGTAACCCAGGGACGGACGCAGGCTTAAGGACAGCGGGGGCACAAACTACGGTCAACGTTCAACACTGGAAGTCAACTGTAAAATCTATATTTAACCAATTAAAAAAATAAATAAAAAAGGTTTGTTATTTCTTATCTCATTGCTAGTTGAGTCTCTCATTCCCGTTTAATAATTGAGACACATTTGATCCAATCCCTATTTAGTATATATATATTTATGTATAATATTTGTTTCTTTATATATTTTAGGAGACAAAAAATAAACAAGAAGTTGAGTATAACATAAGCATAAATTCCACAACTTAAAAAATTACATATTATTAAAGGTTAAATAATTCTAAACATTTTATTTTTTATATAGAAATAATTTGTATAATAATTAATAACATGTATTTTTTTTATTTCAAAATAATAATACATTTATACATATATATATATATATATATATATA